AACTATACCAGACAAATATCTATTCACAATCCAACAAAGAATATCTTAAAATTAATTACGGTGTTTCCGCCTTTAGATTGAAAAACAAAAAACACAAACAGATTTGATTGACAGAAATTAAGTACTGTTTTATGATATTCGTTTTAAAAGATTATTATTATTATTAACATTTGGATTGATACGTTTTTGAATTCTTTAGAAATATATTTATCGCTCTCTCTCTCTGCATATATATTCATACATATCTGAAAATTCTTTAAAAATTAATAATTTATAAGAAAAATACTGTCTTCTGGCGTCACTATATGGTTCTAATATGCCGGAAGGACTGCGTAACTGTTTATGGCGATTTGTTTTGAGTGATTGATTTCACGAGTTAATTAGAATTCATGCAGTTAATATTTTTTTATTTTCATATCGCTTGATTGTTTTTGTAAATTAATAAATTATCTGAGTTTGGGATGTCTCGACATGAAGGTAAGAATTGACAAACTTGGAGGTCATTTAGACCCTTAGTATTACTATTAGTAGGGCCAGTGATAAAATTGTACGAACTTTAGAACTATTAGTATTATTCCACTAAAGTCTAAAGACTACTAGGCTTAAGGTAGGTTAAAAGTTTTGACTTTTAATGAACAGTAGATAGTACATACTTGTACTATTAGTAATTACTACATTACTAATGATACAAATGTAATTACCTCAGGCCAAATTTTAATCAGTGTGAAGTTAGTCTTGAACATTATATATATATACACACGTACAAGTAACCTAGTAAGTAGGCCTAAACTAAAGTTACTTTACCAGTTTAACTTTTAAGTCTTAATTTTTGAAATCAAAGCAAAATAGAAAAAAAAGCTTAAATATGTTAATAGTAAATCTATCACTCCTTAACTGAAGAAGTCCAAGTTCGTTTATTGATTGATAATAATTTCCTGCAGTTATAATAGAAATATTTATTAAAACTCAGAAAAGGTTTATTTTTAGTATGTTTTATTATTATTAAAATTTGAATTGATACGTTTTGAATTCTTTATAAACACCCCAAAAGTGAGATTTTAAGTGGTTGTAGGTTATTCTCATGTTCATTAGGGGGGCTCAGTAGTGATAATTAATTGTTTATTTAACTGTCTCTTTTGCAATCTGTGTTTTTTAAGCAAAATCCGTGATGCAGATAGCAGTGTACTTTTCAATGTGTATTGGGGTATTGTCTCAAAGGCATTGGTGAGCATGTTCTTCCACTGATCCACTTTCATGTTGCTCCTATCATTTCTATAATACTCATTCCTAGTTCCTTGGCAATTGTTGATAGCAGCATCTGTATTTGTCTTCCTTTATGTTTCTTTCCTGGGATTTTTCTTGTTGTAATGATGTTTTCAATCTCTCCTTTTTTCATAACATGTCCTACAAAACTCTGTTGTCTTTTTGTTAAATTTTTCCGCAACATTTGTTTTGTCTTGGTATTTTTGAGAATGACTTTATTACTTATATGTGTGTTCTATGGTATTCTAGGGGTATTGTACATGATGTATGAAAAGGAAAAGGATTAGTAAAGTTCAAATATTGTAAAAACTAAAACAGAGTAGTAGAAAATAACTGGTTAGTACATATATATATATATATATATAATGTATACAATGAAACATAAAGTAGGGATAATGTTAAAGGATTAAGGTTTTCTTTGTATACTATCCCTGTCGCACCAAACATGATCACCCTTTCAGCCATGGGGGCATTATAATATGATGGTCAATCCCACTATTCCTTGGTAAAAGAGTAGCCCAAGAATTGGTGGTGGGTGGTGATGACTAGCTGCCTTCCCTCTAGTCTTTCACTGCTAAATTAGGGATGGCTAGCATAGATAGTCTTTGTGTAGCTTTGTGCAAAATTCCAAACAAACCAAACCAATTCTTCAGCTGTGGTACTTATTTATAAGGACATAAAGAGCATGTAGACCTATTTAGTTCACATCTATGCATAATGAAACAATAAAGCAAAGCATTGAAACAAAAAGGAAGCCCTCACATATGTTTGCGAATGTCTGTCCAATACGTGTTTGATTTAAACTAATAATATACTTCATGTAAGCAAACTATTTTGCAAGCTTGACTTCTGAAAGAAAAAAAAATTGTCTCAACCAAAAAAAATTTGATGTAGGTCTCCAAATCATACAGGATGGAAAGATATGCATTAAATGGTCAAATGCCAGGATTTATCCATTTGGGTTGATTCTCTACCCAAAACAATAGTATTGTTTAGGTAGTAATTGTTTTACCAGGATTACACACATTGACTACGATAATCTTTTATGAACTTTCAGTAGATTTAGATTTATCTTTGCTTTTATTCATTATTTGAATGAAACTGTAAATGCTTGTATATCATGTACTTGTTAGCTATACATGTACATTCAAAATGTTACTATGACAGCTTACCTAAAGACTATAAAAATTGAAGCCTGAAGAGACAACTTAAGTTCTAAATATCCTTAAATGACTTAATGCTAGTGGTATTACAAGAAAAGGAAAAATATATGATTCTTCTCTCCTTGGTTAATATATTAATATATTTTTGATATCAAAGTTCTTGTGTGTTTTTCCACTCCTGCTGTGATCAAAGTTTGCATGGACCACAGTGTTGATGAACTCATCTAGACATGAGCATGTGATATATATATCACAGTGTTTCTGCTGGCAGTCACCACTTGTGCTTTTTTGTAAAAATTATTGTAAAAAGAAACCCCAAAAACCTTTAATTTGGCATAAATTTTCTTAAAAGATAATCTGAACACTTGTTAATGGGAAAATTGCTAATTTCAACATGATCACTTGGTCATGTTATTGTTTATTTTTAAAATATGCAGTAATCTCCCATTGATCTCCTGTAAATCAGATAATGAAAATATAGTTTAATATTTCTGTTAACAGTAACAGCTTTCAAACAGATACAGTCTAACCCATGAATATATTCACTAACTAAAAGAACATCTACAGAAACAAAATATGCCCATATCAATGGCTTTTCCAAAGTCTTCAGCATTTCTATTGAATATCTTTTGTAAATGCTGCAGGAGCTCTGGCTACGAACTTTCCCTTTGAACCATAACTACTGCTCAAACATTTTGACAAGCTTAAAAAATACTGTAATTGGGGTTCACTTCTAGACATTAAATTATTTATAGACAACCTGTTTATTAAATTATGTTAATGAATTGTGCAGTAGTGCTGGGTGATTTAAGTCAATCAATATGATCAATAACCTAAGAACAATGATTAAATTGATTAGTTTCATTTAAAATAATTACTTAATTGAAATTATGATTAAATCTATTAACCTTTTGGACAGGAACTTGTGTATTTTAAGCTACCTTATAACCACCATGAAACCATGAAGGTAAAAATACTACAACTATGAAAGTACATAATGTATCTTATGAAATTTGGAAAGCTTTTACCAAAACCACAAGTCTTTTATACACAAGATATCATATTTTTCAATTAACTTTTTTTTTACTGAAGATTTGTCTTTGAATATATGGAATTAGTGTTGAATGCTCCAATTGCAAAGTAATTTTAATGTCAAGATTAAAAATAATTTTCTTCAGCTGAAAATTTTCAAATTTTATTTTCATAATCTCTAATAACTATCAAACATTTTGCAGAAAAACTTTATTTTATCTGCCTTAACTCTGTATGGACTCATTTGATTTGACAAACCTTGTAACTACTGTTACAAAATACAAAATCTAAATTACCCTTTTTTTCTTTCTGGAATGACTGGATTGTAACAGGAAACTACAGTTGTTTACCATAAATAGCTTGAGGTTTGTAGCAGTATACTTCTCTTTATACTTGCTTTTATTATTTCACTGCCCCTTGAAATCTGTCTAATTAATAATCCCACCACACAAGTTGTGAATAATTCAGCAAACATGCAGTTAATGTTACTGTATTGAATATGTAATGTAGTTACTTTTATAAAAATAAATAAAGAATGCACATGAAAAACAAGAAATACAGTACTTGCCTTTTTTGTTGTTGGCTGTTGCTAAAACTTAAGCCTTCTTATGTATAGTAATGGTACTACAACACAAATTTTTTTTACTTAATTAAATACTGTACTTAAGAACATAGAATAATGACATGTAAAAAGCAAACAATGTCCTATAACTACCATAATTTTTGTGGCTTTCTAATATGACAAGAGCCTTTAAAAATTCATCTAAGCTCATCGATGTGATTCTCATGCGAATAAATTCAAAACTGAATGATAAAATAGACAATGCCCTGTACAGAAAACAATTTATTATAATAATACATCATTTGATCAATTAAAACTTTGGCTTCTGTAGATAATAAATAATATAGTATAAAACATCAGTGAGAAGTACTGACAATTTGTGAGAGAGAGAATGTGATGCGTGGGCATGGTATGGGGGGTCTGATTTTTTAATTTATGGCTCCATAAACAAATAAGATTGATGGCTATAAAATTATGCTGTGCTTGAGTAATATCTATACTGTAATGATTAATTTACTTTAAATTCCATACTTCTTAGAGGGGTGGTAAATAAATTAGAGAAGATGGAAGATCTAGGGAGCAAATGTCACAATTCTCATACTAGGGGAGGTTGATTTTTAAACAAAATTTCATCATAAATTTAAGACACATATAATATTAAAATTTGATTTATTTAATATGCTATGATACCATGTTTATTCATATATTGATTGTAACTTTGTAAAAAGTTGTAGCATGTGCACTTTGACCTACCCTTTGCAAAAGGGTTAATGAACTAAAGCAAATGAATTATACTGGATTTATGAACTGTTGAAGTAGTTGGCACATCAAAGTAGCTGCTGCTACTTTTAAAGAAGTAAATATTTTCTTTACCCCTTCACAGATTGACTCAAGTTTTATCAATTCTCAGCATTAGTGAATAACTGCTCACCCATGGCACTGAAAATGTGGATATTAATTTCTGGGTGTCTTGATATTGGTGGCACTAACTTTTACAACAAAAAATATGTTATGAAATAAATAATTTTCACACTCTTTTCACACAAAAGTTTATTTATAGGAAATATGACAGATATGTCCTTATGGTGATTTTGCAGGGATGTGAATTGACATTGCCCAATGCATGGTACAACAAGTTTTGCTATTTTACTTTGCCTATTGAACCAGGAGTTTTTGTTTTTCACATTGTTTGTTCTATTACTGTAAAAATAATCTGAGTATATTTCTAGGGAGGTGTATAATTTCATGAACATTTCAAATTGTAGTCTAGTGCATACACATGAACAGTTAAAAATGTGTACCACCAAACTTCAAACCAGAACTGTCCCCTGGTGGGTCACTGGTTAATTCATCAACTTGAAACATTTCCTGTGGTAGGCAGAGCACAGATAGCCAATTGTGTGGCTTTGCATTAAAACAAAAAACTATATGCACAAATATAAATACCTCTTTAACCC